TAATGAGTAGAAGGAGTCACCGCTCATCTGGGAAAGGTGCTGGATCAAAAAGTGGAATAAACAAAATAAGAATCCGCACACTTCAATCTGCGATGTAGGAGTTTATTGGTCAAGCTTTCGGTCAGAGACCTTCATCAGGAATTCCTGATGAAGGTCTCTGGTGTAACAGGTGTAACAGGTGTAACAGGTGTAACAGCTGCAGCTTAGACATCTCATGGGGCTTAAAGGAGATGTAAAGTTGGATGTCACCTGCATAAAGATGGTAGGAGATTCCTTTGAAGGAGCTCAGGATGTGCTGAACAGGAAGCAGATAGAGGAGGAAGAGCAGAATTCCCAGCACAGAACCTTGTGGGACACCATGGGTAAGGGAGGTGGTGGAGGACCTAAACTTGGAGACGGCCACAGAAAAGGAGCGCTCAGAGAGATAAGAGGAGAACCACTCCAGAGCAGATCCTGATAGGCCGACCCAGTCTCTCAGCCTCTCCAGTAGCAGGTGATGATCAACAGTGTCAAAGGCTGCAGTCAGGTCCAGCAGGACCAGAACAGAACAGTCCCCTGCATCACTGAGTCAGAAGGTCATTAGAGACCCTAAGAAGAGCTGTTTCAGTAGAATGAGCTCCACGAAAACCGGACTGTAAGCAATCATAGATGTTATGTTGATCAAGAGCAGCTGTGAGTTGTTTAGCCACAACCTTTTCCAAGATCTTGGAGATGAACGGAAGTTTAGAGATGGGTCTGAAACTGCTGTGGAGAGAGGGGTCGAGACTCGTTTTTTTAAGAAGCGGGTGGATTACAGCATTCTTAATGTAAGCAGGGACCTGACCAGAAACCAGAGAAACATTAATTATTGAGAGCACGCTGGGACCGATGGACTGAAAAGCACTTTTAAACAAAGATGAGGGTAAGATGTGTAGGGGGCATGCAGAGGTCTTCATAGAGTTAACTAGTTTGGTTAACTCAGGCAAAGAAACAGGAGCAAAGCTATCTAGGATGATGGGCCTGGTTGGAGTCGGGAGAGGCAGCGATAAGGCTGAAGGAGAGGTGCTAGATCCAACCTTATTGACTTTGTCCACAAAGAAAGACAGAAAGTTGTCACAGTCTGCAACAGAGTGGATGGAGGCTGTAGGAGAGGCAGGAGAGACGATGCTGCTGATGGTGTTAAACAGCACCTTGGGGTTCCCTTTGCTCTGGGACATCAGGTTGGAAAAATAGAAAACCCTCGCGTCTCTGACTGCAGAGTTAAAGGATGTCAGAAGATCCTTTAGGTGCAGCAGATGGGTTTTCTTCCACAAACGCTCAATTTTTCTGCATTGGCGCTTCAGGCTGCGAAGGCTGTCATTAAACCAGGGAGTAGGGTTCACTGCAGGAACTGATCTGGTTCTGACAGGACAGATGTTGTCCAGAATGGAGAGGCAGTGCTCGTTAAACTGAGAAGTTAAGGAATCTGGGTCGTTATCAGAAGAACAGGGTGGATCAAAAGCAGCAGAAAAATTGCTAGCTGTGCTCTCATTAAGAAAACGAGAACTAACCATATGACGAGCAGGAGGTGGGGACGCAGAAACTGACAAGTTAAAGAAAATGCAATGGTGATCTGAAATATAAACGTCCTCAGGACAAACACTGTCAGCATTTAGACTCAGGGTAAAAACAAGGTCTAGAGTGTGCCCCCTGGTGTGTGTGGGGCCAGAAACATGCTGGGTAAAGCTGAAGGAGTCCATAAGGCTGGAGAAATTCATGGCAAAGTGGTCTGAGGGATCATCAACGTGGATGTTAGTCACCAACAATCACCAGTCTGGACAGCTTCACAGTGGAGGATAGAAAGTCACTAGACTCCTGAAGAAAAGAACTGTTTGGACCAGGTGGACAATCGACCACAGCACAGTAGAACGGGTCCTTACGCCCGACTTTAATCAGCTGCAGTTCAAAGGAAGCAACGCGACCAGAGGTTGTAGAGCTACATGGAAGATGGTCTCTGTAAACAACAGCTGGGCCTCCACCACGAACAGAACCCCAGGGCTGGCTAAGAAAAGAATAACCACTCAGGCAGAGTTCAATCAGACAAGAATAATCAGATGTTTGCTGCCAAACTTCAGTCAGAAACAGAAAATCCAGGTTTTTAGAGAGAATTAGATCATTGAGCAGGAAGAACTTATTGTTAACAGAGCGGGTATTTAATAGAGCCATGCTGAGTGAGGTGGAGGAATCAGAAACTACAGAAACAGCTGGAGTTAGTGGACGTAAATTAGTAGGGTTAGATTCACGGTGTTTATAAAAACCACTTATGGAGGGAACAGGAGGAGAAACCACTGAAGAATGAGGATAAACCGACCTTAAAAAACTTTGACGGAGAAACCGCGCCGCAACTCGGCCTGGCGGGAATGCGGAAGTGGCGCTCAAGTCGCCAAACAAAGGACAAGAAGCTAGAAGATCACGCCGATGTTTACTAGATAAACCACACTTTAAGAGATGTCTTATTCTCACCTGGATTCCTGCTCGATTACCTCTTTTCCCCCGACCTTTTCCCGGGACCGGATAAACATCGCTGGAGGCGTCCTGGTAGGAATCATTTGGCTCCGGGTCAGCACGCCACTCAGGTAAACAAACAGGAAGGTACATGCTTGGTGCACCTTGGGCGATCGTGAACGGAAGGACAAAGGAGTCTGGTGCTCATAGGAGATGGTATCAGGGACACTACTGAAGAGGATCACAGACAGGAGCAAGGTGGAAAAGAGGAGGTTAGTGGAGAAAAGTTTGAAAAATTGGCCGGTGACCACGGCTAAGCCGAGCACAGGCGCCATCTTGTTACCGACAGGAAGTGGGAGGACTGTAGGGAATGATGTTATTTGAAGTGGAGGTTTGAGCAAAGGCCGAGAAAGTGAAGATCTCTAGGATGTAAACCGTTATGTCTGTGGAAGGGAATCCACCATAGATGTATATATATGGGACTGTACAGCATACCGGATGTTAGCGGTTAGCATGCTTGAGCCAGGTAGGTTAGGGTGAATACCATCTCGCCTGAAAAAGGAGAAACGGTTCCAAAACAGGTTAAAATTATCAATAAAACTGAAACTGTGGGACCTGCAAGCAGACTGAAGCCAGGAGTGGAGTGAGAGCAGATGGCTAAAATGTCCATATCCATGAGAAACTGTGGGGATCGGGCCAGAGATGAAAACAGACATTCCACTGCTCTTCAGAATGTCAGAGATGGTTAAAATGCTGTTGAGTGATGACAGTCTCCCGGCGTGTGACATCGTTTGATCCCACATGAATGATCACTCTTTTAACTGAAGCTGGGATGGAGCACAGCAGACCAGGAAGTTTATCCAGGAGAGCAGGTATGGTGGCTGACTTTCTGTGTCTTGGCAACAACCCGGTGATGTCTCACAACTCAATGACTGTACTCCTCCCGGATTTGTTTACCTCTCCAAACCATGTGGGTCAGGCCGTGGTAGTGGTCTCGCGATACTCTATCGCGAGACTTGGAAGGTCCTTCCCGTAAGCCTTCCTCCTCTCACCACTCTGGAATGCCTCGCCTGTCAACTCTCCGGCCCAACCCCCACAATAATTGTGACTGTTTATCGTCCCCCCAAGTTCAGCCCTGAGTTTTTATTCTTTACTTATACTTAGTAGTACTATACCAAATGTAACACAAAACCACATTAAAACAACAGATAGTACAAATCACCCAAACAACCAAACCATATGGTAAAAAAACAAAATGAAACACATCTTTTTACAATTCATACTCAAACTTATCTCTCTTTAGAATAAAGGACAAACACATAAATCATCTATTTTCCTCTCTATACTTATTTAGGATATGTTTTTCATGATTCATTTTAAACAGGTTTATATTTGTACTTACTTTAATTTCTTCCTCTAAACTGTTCCATAAGTTAACCCCTATTATTGTGATACACATACTTTTTAATATTGTTCTAACATTATGTATCTTTAAATTTAGTATCCCTCTCGAGTTGTACTCTCCTTCTCTCTCTGTGAACAGTTTCTGTATTTTATCAGCTATTCGTTTATTTCTTACTTTATATACTATTTGTGCTGTTTTGTATTGAACCAAGTCCTGGAACTTCATTGTCCGTGTTTTAATAAAAAGTTCATGTATGTGATCCCAATATCCTGCATTTGTTATTAATCTGATAGCCTTTTTCTGCATTGTCGTTATTGTTTGTAAATGACTTTTGTACGTATTTCCCCAGACCTCTACACAATAGCTCAACCTGTTTCCTTGTAGCTGGTAGCTTGAGTTGCTGCCTGTAGCCTGTGGCTTACCCAGATGCTGGTCGCTGGTATTTTTTCCTTTTTAGTTGTTAGTGTTTAGTAGATCCTGGGCTTCCGGGCCTAGTAGCCGATGGTGTATCCTAGAATTGCCTGGTGGTAGCTTGGAAGCTGCTGCTGGCCTCAGGTGGACCGGTCTGGTCCGGTTCTGCTCTTTCCACCTGGACCTGGCTACTGGGTCCATGTTAGCTGGATATTTCTGTCCTCCTCCGACTTTCTCAGTGTAGTTGTGGTGAGCTCACATTTCTGTGCTGCTGCTTTTTTTGCTCATTATTCATATCTTGTCATGTATAATCATTAGTTTAGAAAAAAATAAAATTCCTTTTTAACTATATACCTGACTCTGTCTGAATTAATACAACATGTGTTCATGATCCCTGAACAAGTAAAAGTAACTATAATCTTCTGATTAAACATTCAAAGATCCATCAGGTTTACATTTCATATTTATATGGAATCATCAGAAATCATCACATCTTATTGGTCAGAATTAATTTGCAGTCGTCACGCTATAATGTGTGACCACTACAAAGGGAGCCTAAAGTCACGTCCATCTATTTCCAGAAGTGTCATTTATGTATGAGAGCCAGGTGTGTTTTATTCTGCTCCAGCAGGTGGCGCTAGAGCACCTTTACGCTGGTCATCGACCACCGGAAGAAGCAGAAATCGAAAGTTGCTAGCAGAGCTAGCTTGTTGTTCTGGTGTGTGAGGAGAACATTTGAGGCTCTGCAGTAAAAACGTCTTCACTTCAGTCTCTGGGAGAGTTGATCAGCTAAAGCGACTAACTGCTGCTGCTGCAGAAATCTTCTCACCAGGCTGTGGAAACTTTCTTCTCCTCCTCAACAACTTGGTGGAGTTCTTTCCAGAAGCAGAGAAGATATTCTGCGGTCTTCGTGACAATCGGAGCTCCAGGATCAGGTTGTGGGTGAGAAAAGCTTTTCTCTAGACTTCCTGCCCTCTGGATCTGCTGTTCCTTTGGCCAGAACCAAAGCGTTGGATCTTTAATCTCCTGCGTTGTTCTGAAGCAGCATCTTAATCAGCTCTCCTGCTTTGTTTCTATTGCAGCTGTTAGCTAAACACGGCTAAAGAAAACCTGCTACCACTTCAGGATCATCCATCAGCTGGGACGGATTCATCGTGTGTTCTTCACCACCTGGACCTGGACAGCATGGACACAGGTACTGGTGGATGAATGAATATATTGTCAGTCTATTGTAACCCTGGCGTCAGATTAAGTTACCACTTATTCAAAAAATAATGATAAATAGGCCAGACTCTAGGTCCAACAGGATTACCTTACAAATTACCAGTGAGTGGGAAATGGAATAGCTGGATCCAAAGAATGAGCAAAAACACAGTTGCACCAGATTTGTAATTTTATATAGATATATGAAAATAGAACAAAAAATACTGCAGCTGCAATAGACATATAATTAAACAATTAGGCCTTTCCCCCTATATCAGTAAACCTAGTCAAGCTGGGCTCAAAGTCAGTCTTCTATTTGGTCGTAGTCTAGTCAAAAAGAAAGTCTCCTCGGTCTTGTAAAACTCAGGTTCAGTGGTCTGAGTGGTTACCACTGGAATGTTGGCTCAGTATAGAAGAATGATGTTCTCCTGATCGGGATACAGTTCAGTTCGGGCACAGGCTCGCCATCTCCATCCGGAGAGAATCCAGGACTCCAATCCACTTCAGTCCCGTACCGAGCATAAAAACCTAGCCTGCACAACAATAATGCAATTATTGTTTACAGCTAAATAAAATTCTCATCTCTTATTCTCACAGCTATAGCTTTTACAGTCTTTTCTTTCTTCATCCTTCAAATTACCATAGTAACAATTTACATGCATGTTCATTTCTTTTCTCAAAATACATTTTGGCGATACATGAAACATGTTTTTAACTCGCGTAACTAATAGTTTGAATCTTTTAGTAGAAGAAAGAAAGTAGCTGAGGGGGGTCAGAAATGTTGCCAGATTAGTCGCTAGGCACTATTTTGAAAAAAAAAAAGTCGTTAAGGGGGTCTGAAAAGTCGTTAGAAATGGCGACAAAGTCGCTAAGTTGGCAACACTGCAAGCTGCAAAAACGCACATGCTCATTGCTCACTCCCGCGGTGCGCACAAACACAATTCAATTCAATTCAAGTTTATTTATATAGCGCCAAATCACGACAAGAGTCGTCTCAAGGCACTTCACATAATAAACATTCCAATTCAGGTCAGTTCATTAAGCCAATCAGAAAAAATGTTTCCTATATAAGGAACCCAGCAAATTGCATCCTTTACAGCAATCCTATTACTAAGCAAGCATATAGCGACAGTGGAGAGGAAAACTCCCTTTTAACAGGAAGAAACCTCCAGAGAATCCTGGCTCAGTATAAGCAGCCATCCACCACGACTCACTGGGGATCGAGAAGACAGAGCACACACACACACACACACACACACACACACACACACACACACACACACACACACACACACACACACACACACACACACACACACACACACACACACACACACACACACACACACACACACACACACACAAAGCAATGTGTCTATGGTTACATTGTGATTGCTTAGTAAATATTCTATTTGGCGAGAGATAAACTTTATTGTATTTATCTTAGTGGATCTATGATTAAAGGTGTTCCCTGGCCAGGCAAGAGACGTAGTCCCTCCCTGGGTCTCCCTTTAGGTATCCTACCGGTTGGACGTGCCTGGAAAACCTCACCAGGGAGGCGTCCAGAAGGCATTTTAATAAGATGCCTGTCAAGATGGCACCGTCCACGGCCTGCCGTCTGCTCTCCCGATTGTTGTTTTTGTTTTTTATTTTCCTGTGTTGCTCTTTGGTGGATAGTAGCTCAAATTTTCGCTATTATCGCCTCACCCTTCTTGAACTTCGGCATAAACTTGGATTTGCCTATCACCTAGAGCTGAAACAACTAATCGATTTAATCGATTATAATCGATTATTAAAATAGTTAACAACTTTTTTAGTCATCGATTAGTTGTTTAATAATCATATTTTACCGCATAAAGTCTATTTTTTTTTACCACAATCTGACATTGGTTACAATCTGTTAAATTTGCCGCCAGTGTGTGGCAGTAATGAGCCACTGATCTACCAGTGGAGCCGTAGAAGAAGAAATGAGCCAATAAGTGCCCTCGGTTTTCATGACGTATCACGTTACTGACGCTCATCTTGCTGTGAGAGATGGCGGATCAACAAGAAATACGGAAGAAAAATAGAAGTGACAAAACAAGAGAAACCCCGGACAAAAACCTCACGAGTATGGGAGCACTTCACTAGATGCCTTGAAAAGACCGGTGACCTGCAAAATATGCAAAAACCATGGCACGACGGAAGCACGACGTCCCTAAGTGAACATTTGAGACGAAAACATGTGGGGGCTGATGCAGCAGAGGAAGAGCCAGCCCGGTAAGTAACAGAAAATAAACAAGCTAACGCAGATCAAATTTGGGACTTAGTGTTAGCTGAGTTCGTTATAGTGGATGTTAAACATGTTTTTTTTGCCGCGTCAGTTTACGGTATTCTACTTCTGATTGACTAGATGCAATCGTGAATCTCCTCTGTGTTGTGAATCATGCGCTTGCCAAATTTAGCACGTCTGTTTATAAGAATACTCTCGTTAAGAGAAAAACGGCACAAACCCATAACTGTGTTCCTCATTCAAAAAAGGACAACTCCGCGGAGAAAAATATACAGACGAGCTGTGTCAAGGTGAATATAACGCGGCATAGTTGTACGCTTTCAATTTTTAAATACAGGAGAAATTCAGAAAGTCCTTTTTTTAACTATTAAAAGGCTGTTTTACTATCTAACGCTGTAAAACGCCTCACAACACATTTTTGTCAAAATAAATGATCACTGTATATTGTTAATTAATTCAAATAATGTAATATTTATTTAGTGTTGTAGTGTGTGTGCTGCTTTATTTTATATGTGTACTTAATTCAGTTTATTTGTGTTTCTTATGCAGAAAAAAACAAGCAACGATGGACAACTACATGGGGAACAAGACACTCACCCCCAGCAATGCATACCACTTACAAACTCTATTCTAGATTCTACATTATTTTTTTATGGAATTTACCTCTTATATTTTGATGCCAAAAAATTATTCTGGACTGATATTTTGCACAGTTTAGCTCATTTTACACCACTGACTGTGTTCATGTGCAATAAAATAGATTGCAGTCAACTGCATAATTCTCTTATGTTTTTCTTTTTCTTAACTGAAATGTATTCATCACTTGTATAGGTTAAATAGCTAAACAATAACAAACCGATTAATCGATTAATCGATTATGAAAATAATCGTTAGTTGCAGCCCTACTATCACCGCTGTTTGGATCTAAGACGGTCCTTCGCCCCGCTGTTTACGGCGGTCCCGCAGACGTGGCAATCGCGGGGGTTCCAAAGTGCGGCTCAGAGCCTCCTCCGGCCGTTCGTGCATGGGATGTAAACCTCACCTGTCACTAGAGTTGATACATGGAGATCATCGGACCTTCCGCATTCCATCGCTCTGTCGAAGATTCTTTGGGGAATCCGGTCACCGGAATGCCTCAACCACCAACCCGTGGATGCACCGTGGCGTCAACCAAGCTAACCTTTGCTATCCTACGGTGGCCCAAGCGGCCCAGTCACCCCGGTCAGCTGATTCGGGTCTTCCACCGATCTTCAGGGTAGCTCTCCTAAACGCCCAGTCAATTGGGAATGAAACCCTCATTTTAAGGTATTATTTTTTCCAGCATGAGGTGACATTGTTCTGCATGAACGAGACCTGGGTTCTTCCTGGTGAGTCAGCTGCTCTGTCAGAGCTCTGTTCTTCAGACTGTCAGATTCTGAACAAGCCCAGGCTCACTGGTCGTGGTGGTGGATTACTAACCATGTTCAGATCCTCTTTCCATCCTAAAAAACTTACTATACCAGTGATTCCAGCCAGCTTTGAGTTTATGGCTTTTGAGGTGGACTTTAGTCCTTCACTGCTGTTTATTCTCTGCTATCGCCCACCTAAGTACAATTCAAACTTTTTATCGGAATTTTCTGATCTTTTAACAGACTTTCATCCAAAATATGACCGTGGGATTATTCTTGGTGATTTTAATATACATGTTTGCTGCCCTGACAAACCTCTTGTTGGTGACTTTTTAGACATTTTAGATTGTTTTGGTCTCCAGCAACAGGTCCAGTCACCCACCCATTCAGGATCGCACATTTTAAGACTTGGTTTTGTCATTTGGGATCTGTATCTCTGAACTGATTGTTGACTCTGCATGTATCTCTAATCATTCTCCTATTATTTTTAATATCTGTGGCTTGACACCTCCATCCAAAAGGCAACATAATCAACACCGTACAAGAATAATTTCCCCTTTCACCACCAATCTATTAGCATCTAGCTTAGCTGCGACTCTATCCACTTCCCAACCTGATTCCGCCTGTGTAGGAGTTGAGGAGCTGCTGACCTCTTTCAACTCTACCTGCTCAACTGTTTTAAATGCAGTCGCTCCTCTAAAATCCAGACATAAAAAAACTGTGGCAGGCCCTTGGCTCAGAGGAGACTCGTGCCTTAAGACGCCAATGTAGGGTCTGCGAACGCCGGTGGCGGAAGGACAAGCTGCAAATCTACAAATTATTCAAGGATTCTTTGACCCGCTATCAGAAAGCTGTCCGCACAGCTAAAAACAGATATTTTGCAAATATAATCACTAGGCATAAAAACGACCAGAAGAAACTGTACAGTGTCCTCACCTCTGTACTATCCCTTAGAGAATCTCCCAACTCTTCTCCCTCTACAGGGGCTCTTTGCAATGAGTTTCAAAACTTTTTCCTGCATAAAATCCAGGATGTTAGAATGAAGTCCTGCTTTTTCCAACTCCGCCACATCACTCGTCTTAAGTCAATCCTCAAACGCCCGGATCTTGAGTCAGTCATTCATGCTTTTATTACTTCACGTCTGGATTACGCAAATTCTATCCTTATTGGGATTGATGCTTCAGCCTTAAGCAAACTGCAGAAGGTTCAAAATGCCGCTGCCAGATTTTTAACCAACACCGACAGACGCATGCACCGACAGACGCGGGGGGGGGGACTGATGGGACATGTCCCCTCCAATATTGGACAAACGCACATTTGTCCCCCCCAATAACATGGAGTAGAAAAAAATTGATTTTGAAATATTTGACTTGTGAGCTTTTATTTTGAAAGACACCGCAGACTTCTCACTGACACAGCCCCTCCCCTCAGGCAGTTAGACAGGCTGGCTGAGTGAAGCGGGAGTCAGAGCCGGGACGACAGCAGCTCTGCGAGTTCTTCTCATGGGCAAAAAAAGAAAGAAAGGAAATGTGAGTTGGTAATAATTTAGTCCAAGAGGATAATTGTATTTCTGGTCAAACGTTAGACTGGCTGACTAACGTAAACATCTTGCTAGGCAGCATTAAACATTAAACAACACTGCTAGTCAACAAAAAATGGTGAACTTGACACGATTCGACAGTAACAGACACAAACCATTTGACACGAAATAAATAAAAAAGTAGACTCTCCACATAAAAATGGAATTTGTAAGTGTGATTGTTGCTTGTTTGTGACATTCTCATCACATTTTATTTTTTATACCTTATTGATGTCACTCTTTTCATATAAGAGACCAGAGGAAGTTCAGCAGGAAAATGATGAAGAAGGTGAGACAGGGAGCACCAGACCTGCTGAGGGTGAGACAGGGAGCACCAGACCTGCTGAGGGTGAGACAGGGAGCACCAGACCTGCTGAGGGTGAGACAGGGAGCACCAGACCTGCTGAGGGTGAGACAGGCAGAGCCAGACCTGCTGAGGGTGAGACAGGGAGCACCAGACCTGCTGAGGGTGAGACAGGGAGAGCCAGACCAGCTGAGGGTGAGACAGGGAGCAGCAGACCTGCTGAGGGTGAGACAGGGAGCAGCAGACCTGCTGAGGGTGAGACAGGGAGCACCAGACCTGCTGAGGGTGAGACAGGGAGAGCCAGACCTGCTGAGGGTGAGACAGGGAGCAGCAGACCTGCTGAGCTGCAGGCAGGTGCTACAATGAAGAGTGAGGTTTTAGATGGTTGATGATGAGAGGAAGATTCGATAACAAGTGAACACGACTAAATAATACTGTAACAACCATGATTTTAACGTTGCACTAGGAAAACGACCGGTTCGGCTGGCTCCGGTGAAGTGGAGACGGTCATACTGGGAAGTTTCGGTAATGGAAACACACCAGTTAGTGCCTGGCTGGTTTATAAAAGACACCCGTTCCTCCTTTTGGTGTGAGGATGCCAGCTGGTCCTGTTCCCCTGCAGATAGCTCATCAGTACTTAATACAAGTTGTTTATTGTGTATCTACGTTGGTGTTAGTTTGGGATGTTCTGATCATACCAGCAACACCTGTGTGAACCCTGTGTGCAGCACTTGGGCTTCTTCCCCTTTTCCTTCATGCTGTGCAGGACAGCAGCAACAATGTAAAACAACATGTCCGCCTAACTTTAACTCCGTCTGCGAGAGTGATGTAAGCTTTGAGTCCTGCAGTGAAAAGCTCCAGCTCCTGGGGAAGCTGATCACAGCTGGTTTAATACGACGTAAAGAACAAAGTCTGGGTGGAGTGAGGTGAGTTTCCAGGGATGGCTGCAGAGATAAACACCTCCCAGTCAGACGCAGCTACGCTCACCAACACCCGTCTGAATGAGCGTCAGAAGGCTCGGCTAATAACCGGACCATGAGGAAGTTCATGATGCTGGAAGAGCAGCCTTTCTCTGTGGTGGAAGAAGAACCAAGTTTATTCATACAGCACGTGTCCCAGACCGAGGTCACGAAAGGAATCACAATAAAACGCTGAAAAATAATACAATGAGTAGAAAACAACAGGCTCCGCCCACTGCTCAGTCACTAAGTAACCCACCACTACTACTAATAATAATAATAACAACAATAAATCTCCCAAAATGCTAACTAGTAAGGTTCCTTTGCTTTGTAGTGCTCTAGCCTGCTGAGAGCTTCAAAGTGAAAGGTTGTTACTGACAGCAGCTACATCTAAGTGTTTATTCATTTTCCTTTTGACTGAATAGTTGCTGATTTGATCTTGGAGACGTTTCTCCTCACATCAGCTTCAGATCTAAAGCTTGGGTTGTGAGTAGGAGGCTTAGAAGTTCTGGTCAGAAACAAACACGCTGATTGTGATGGAAGTTTTTATTGTTCCTAAAGTAGAAATCTGTTTTTATCTAAATGAAGTTCATGTTCTTGTTCCTTTTCCCCACATCATGTAGCCAGTATCACTCATGGTGTAAATATAAAGGTATGGTGGTCTGTAACATCATGTGTCTGTGTTTCCTACAGATGTTCCACAGCTGGTGCTGGTTAAAGAAGAAGCTCCTGAAGAACAGAGTGCTGGTGTGGACCAGCAGGACCCAGAACACCTCCACATAAAGGAGGAACAGGAGGAGCTCTGGACCAGTCTGGAGGGAGAGCATCTCTGTTTGAAGGAGGAGACTGAAGCTGTCGGGTCTCCTGTTACTGCTGTTTCTATAAAGAGTGAGGATGATGAAGAGAAACCTCTGGTCTCACAGCTTCATCAGCAGCAAATAGAAGACAGAGATGCTCCAACCAGCAGCTCAGCTGACCAGATGGCGGCAGAAACTGGTGGAGGAGCAGGAACTAGCAGGAACCCAGATCTGAACCCTCATGAACAAACATCTGATTCTTCAGAGACTGAAGTTAGTGGAGATGAAGAGGATGATGATGATGGTGTGAATCTGGACTCTGAGCTGTCAGACTCTGGGTCTGAAACTGGAGATGAAGATGATGACTGGAATGAGAGCAGGTCTTCTGAGTCAGATGGTAAGTCTGTCAACAAGTTCTTCACAAGTGGTCTCTCCAGAGACACGTGAGGGAGACGAGTCATCCAGCAATAAGGTCTTCAGGCTGTTTGGTTCATAAGAAGTGTGTTAGAGTGAAGCAACATGTAGACTCGTGCAGGAAAGTCCAGAAGAAACCTAAATCATTTAGTCATGATGAGTGTGGAGAAAGGTTTACTACAAATGTAAACAAACAAATCACATGAGAGTCCACACATAGCAGCTGCTGTTCCAGAGTATGGGCCAGCCTCATCCCACCCATACTCTGCTTCTGGCCGCTAACAAGATGGCGCCTGTGTTTGGAATAGCCACAGGTCCGTTTCCACATTCCCGCCTGGCCACGGGGCAGCGCTGTGTCTCCGTCCATGTTTCCTCGGGTCTGTTTATCCTGGTTCTTCAGTGGTTTCCCTTCCTGTTCCCTCCATGAGTGGACTTTACACACCGTGGATCTGACCTGCTAACTCCAGCTGTTTCTGCTTCTGGCAGGATCCTGGTGTAGGTACCCAGGAGTCCAGATGCTGCAGGATGAAGTGTAGAGCCATGCTGATGGTGTAACGTGATGGAAGTGGTTACTTTTACTGAATGATCAATAAGATGTGATATTCCATCTAATTATAAATGATCAATCTTATTGGTCTTTGAATATTTGATTTAATACGACCTTAGGAACACACACTTCATATTAATTCAGACAGAGTCAAGAATATAGTTTATAAAAATTAGTTTAATTCTATATTTCTAAACTAATGATTACATGACTGTTAGGGATTGTATCAATAACCCAATACCTGCAGCTGGAGAGAGAGGAGAGACAACAAGCAGACAAGTCACCAAACTGCAATCAGGGGCAGAAGCTCAAGGCAACTGCCCCGAGTTTCTGCCCTCAGAGTTTATTTATAACAAAGATAAGACTGTGTGTGTGTGTGTGTGTGTGTGTGTGTGTGTGTGTGTGTGTGTGTGTGTGTGTGTGTGTGTGTGTGTGTGTGTGTGTGTGTGTGTGTGTGTGTGTGTGTGTGTGTGTGTGAGAATGCTTTCAGGCATAGAATAATACAACAGATTCCTGTTAGTAATTTTATTTATTAGATGCATCCAACCTGTTCTATTTTTCTCTGAAATGAGATCAAATCAGTGCTTCTATGGGTTGTCTCCCCTCTGCACTAGAAGATTTTACTTTAACCACAGCTGGAAAAATTCCTAGGGGAAACACTGGACGTTGATGCATGCTTTTATAACCAGTAGAATTGATTACTGCAATGCCCTGCTTTCTGGTCTTCCCAAAAAGAGCATCTCAGGTTTACAACTTTTACAAAACTCAGCAGCACGTGTCCTGATGAAGAATCACTGCACTGGCTCCCCGTATGTTTCAGGATCGATTTTTAAGGCTCTTTTAATGGTTTTTAAGTGTCTTAATGGTCTTGGGCCTTCTTAACAGTCAAAAGCAGGGCTTGTGTTGACCGGACAGTTCCCGTATTTGACCGTTTATTTTGACGGAGAAAGAATAGAAAGAATAACCCAGACGCATGCAGACGTACTGACATTTTATTCTACGCACATCGCAGATGTAGCTAAATCACTCAAGAAAAGATTCCCATCTGAACTTCTGAGCTGGACACTGCTCAGCGCAGCTCGCTATCAGCGTGCACTAGCGAGCTGAAGATGTGGAGAGGGGCTTGGAGCGCGTCGCAGAACCGGAGCGCATGCGGGAAGATTCCTCCGACTGAATTCAGTCGGAGGAATCTTCCCGCTGATCTGAATCTAATGCGGCTCTCTGTGCTTGTAAAATAATGAATGGATATTTAAATAAAATGCTTTATATTTTACTGAATTAATTTTATATCTGTAAGTCAGTTCTATATAAAGATTGTCTGCGTAAACCTGAACAGGCCCAACCCAGTCTTACTGTGAGACCGGGTTGACGGGTCACGCTTGTGCGTAATCATAGGCGCTTTCTGAGCTGAAGAGGATGTGAGATTCTGGGCTTCTCCTCAGACGGCTCCTGGATGTGTCGCCACATTGGAGACAGGAACAAGCGCTATTCAGCCAAAGTTTCATAATCAGGGATCATTTTCTAAGTGACAAGTCTCTCTGAGAGACAGGGTTTGGAAAACACTCGCTTCAGTGGGAGGAACCTTCCCGCATGCGCTCTGGTTCTGCGACGCGCTCCAAGCCAATCTCCACAACTTCAGCTCGCTGTGCACATATGCGCTGACAGCGAGCTGCGCTGAGTAGTGTCCAGCTCAGATGTTCAGATGGGAATCTTTTCTTGGGTGATTTAGCTACATCTGCGATGTGCGTAGAATAAAATGTCAGTTCGTCTGCATGCGTCGGGGTAATTCTTTCTATTCTTGAAATTCTATCCTGAAAACCTTTTCGGGTCGGGCTGAGGCTCCACCCCCTCGGGCCGGGCCGGACACGGGCTCAGATTTTAGGCCCGTGCAGGGCTCTAGTGAGGTCTGCATAGTGTTCCTATCAAATGGCTGTAAAAAAAAAAAGAGGCAAAATCCACGTTTTTATCTGGTATTATTAGCTCTAATGAGCATAACCTAAGAGTACTATTTTCTACCGTGGATGAGATTTTAAATCCTTCGTGTGCAGGTGGACTTAAAGTCTCTTCGACTACTGCTGAGAGGTTTCTGACATAATTTATAGGCAAAACTGAAACTATTCAAGCTCAAATTCCCAGCAATTTAGTTTTATTGATGAAGAAATCTGTTTTGACTCAACTACTTTAAATTCTTTTGACTCTGTACCCCCAGACATGTTGGATGAAATTGTTGGAAGGATGAAACCATCCAGCTCTGCACTCGACATCATTCCATCCTCTATTGTTAAAATGTTTGGCCAGCTATTTCAAATATGGTTCATAATGTAATCAACTCTAGTCTGCAGTGTGGGCAAGTTCCAAAGAAAGTCGTTTTTAAGCTATTGTCAGACCATTTAGATAATAACAAATTTAAGAAGTTTTTCAATCAGCTTTTAGAGCAAAGCATAGTATTGTAACTGCGCTTGTGAGAGTGTTCAATGATATTTACCAATATACTAATTAGGGGTGGGTGCAATTAATCTATGTGGCGATGCATCTAAAAGCTTAACATGTTTTTTCGGCATCGATTAATGAACGTCGATGCTTAAAAAAACATAACATCAACGTTTTGTTGCGAAGCCGGTACTAAAAAAATAAAAACACGTAACCAGAGCCTTAACGCACACCGCCCGGACTGTTTAGTGAGTGGCACTACCTCTTTGACCTCTTTCTCCATCCTGTAGACTGTCTCCAAACTACCGAAGAACTCAGAGAAGGCGAGGAGCATTACAAAAGCAATAGCTACTTTTATCGAGACGGATCTACGCCAGTATTCAGTAGTAGACAACAGGGGGTTCGGTTAGTGGTGCACACCATGGAGCCGCGCTATAAACTTCCTCACCAAAAACCCTTCACAGAAAAAGCAGTCCCCCTCCTCTACAAGGAAACCAAAGCAAGCGTTCTGGAGTTCATGAAGAAGGCAACCGGGATAACGCTCACATGCGATGTGTGGACATCGTTTGCCACCAAATCCTTCGTTACTGTAACGGCGCATTTTGTTCTCGTGTCGAACAAGAACGGGTGGAAGTTGGTGAGTCAAGTTCTTCAAACTCGAGAGATGAGTGAGAGTCAGAGTAGCACCATGTTGACATTTGCCCATCTCACACAACAGGAGGATGTAGAGGGTCAAGAGAGAGGGGAGGGAGTGTGGGAGGACAGATGAGTATGAGTGTCACTCTGCTCTATTTTGTTGTGTTCGCCTCATTGTACTGAAGCTCCAGGCTGAATATATGTTCAGTTGAATTATGCACCTTTGTTCTGAAAAAATGCAACATATTACCTTCAAATATAGCAGTTTTTTTCTGTTGCCCATATTCCAGACTGAATAAGCTGAATTTATTTATTTGATCTGTATGGCAGCTTTTTGTAATGTTATCATATGCCAGACTCATTAAATTTCCATTAAATAAATTTGATGGAAGTAAAAATCTTGTTAACTTGAATTAATTACCTCATTAAATCCAGGGCTTGCCTGTTTTCAGTGTTTCCCAACAATGGAGGGGACACTAGTGTAAGTAAAGCTTTCCCTGATCGAAGTTAAGTTGGTCAAAGTGCAAATATTTACACGTCACACTGTCATAAAATAAGAATTTGTCTTTGAAAAATAGTTAAATGTTAAAAAATGTATTTACTTAAAGAGAGTAGTTTTAGAGGAACTGAATTAATTGATAGGTTATTTATTTACAAATGTAGATAAAGAAGAAGACAATCTTGTATGAAAAAAGCATTAAAAATGTAAATAATTGATGAATCGTGGCACCAGTAATCGAATCTAACCAAAAATCATTATAATCGAAGCATCGAAGCTCTCATAATCGAAATCGAATCGATTCGTGAAGTACCCTTTTTGGAACACCCCTAATACTAATGTGGGTGACAGTCGTTTTATTACTCTTAGATCTGACCGCTGCTTTTGATACTTCTCAGTCGACTGGAGAATTTTTTTGGTCTCTGGTTCAGCGCTCTTCTGGATGAGTTCCTACCTGGCTGACATACCTGGCTGACAGGTATGTGACTGTGAAGATTGGTAGCTTCTGCTCAAGGTATGCTCTCCTGAAATATGGGGTCCCACAGAGCTCTGTACTTGGTCCTCTGCTTTTCAATTTAAATTTGCTCCCTCTTGGGGACATCTTTAGAAAATATGAGCTTGACTTTCATCTTTATGCTGTTGACTGTCAGGTCTATGCTCCTGTTAAAGCTAAGGATTTAGCTCTGAGTTTTCTTCGTGAGGTTAATAATTGTGGATGGGTTGTAATTTTCTCCAGATTAATTAGTCTAAGACTGAGTTGATTATGTTTGCACCAAGTGGTGCTCCTGTAGTTACTCAGTCTCATATGATGCAAAGGATGTTGTGTCTAATTTGGGTGTTAAGAATGATTCTCAGCTTAAATTTGATGTTCAAGTCAATAATGTGGTTCAATTATGCTTTTTTCACCTAAAGAATCTTTACAAGTCCTTTTTGATGAAGAATCGTTTTGAGAAGCTTATTCATGCATTTAATGCATTTTGTTTAGACTACTGCAATAGTCTTTACGTGGGTGTTGATTATGGATGTATTGCTAGGCTGCAGCTCGTTCAAAATGCTGCAACCCATCATTAGGGCGCCGCAGGAGACAGTCCTATCACCCTTCCTCTTCACCCTTTACACATCTGACTTCAGGTACAAGTCTCAGTCTTGCCATCTACAGAAATTCTCTGATGACTCTGCCATTGTGGGCTGGATGGTCAGGAGGTGGAGTACAGGAGTGTGGTGGACAGCTTTGTGGAGTGGTGTGAGCAAAACCACCTACAACTTAACATCACAAAGACTAAGGAACTGATTATGGACTTTAGGAAGCAGGCCCCACCTCCTACTCCTGTCACCATAAGAGGGGCTGACGTTGAGATCGTTGAGGACTACCGGTACCTGGGTGTACTTTTGGACTGTAAACTGGACTGGACTAAGAACACCAATGCTGTCTTCAAAAAAGGGCAGAGTCGGCCTTTTCTTCTGAGGCGGCTCAGGTCCTTCAATGTTGGGAGGAAAATGCTGACCATGTTCTATCACTCGGTGTTGGAGAGCGTTGTGTTCTTTGCAGCTGTGTGCTGGGGCAGTGGGGTGAAGATAGCTGATGCCAACCGGCTGAACAAGCTGATTAGGAAGGCTGGTTCTGTCCTGGATGTTAGACTTGAGAACCTGGAGGAGGTGTCTGAGAGGAGAATGCTAAAAAAGCTTCTCTCTATCATGAACAACCCCTCCCACCCCATGCATGCCCACATGATGGACCACCGAAGCAAATGCAGCAAAAGACTCATTGCCCCGAAATGCAGAACTGACCGCCACAGGAAATCCTTTGTACCGGTGACAATAGGATTGTTAAACTCTTCCTCACCCTGTAGGTGATTCTCCTAATACTATTACCTAGGTTATTCTGTGCCCTCACCGACTGGGCAATATTACCCAAGAGTTTTTATTGTAAATATGTTTTTATCCCCCCATCAAATCTACTACCCCTAATTCTATTACACAATACTTTAATCACTTTTGTGAATCGCCTGCACCGACGGCTTAATTACTTATTCACCAGGATACAGTCATTTATTTATTTGTTGAGTTATCCGATTGTTTGTTTTGCACTATCCTACAGGGTACTACTGTTGATCATTTTTTACTTTATATATTATATATCATATTTCTATTTCACCTGTTCCTTTGTCTCTCCTACTGCTTTGAGCATGTACATGACACAAGAATTTCCCTCGGGATGAATAAAGTTGTTCTTATCTTATCTTAGGCTGGCACTGGTCAGTTTGATCATATCACTCCAGTTGTTGCCTCTCTGCATTGGATCCCAGTTCAGTTCTGTGTTGAATTTAAGATTTTGGTTCTGGCCTACAAATGTTTAAATGGCCTTGCTCCTAGCTCTTTATCTGGAATTCTAGTGCCATATGAGCCATCTTGTGGATTAAGGTCAGTTGACCTAGTGAGCAGAACTAACTGTCATCACAAACTGCTGATCTAGAAGCATGATGCTCATTATTATTTTATGGGTTACAGACGAGTGTTGATGCTCTGTGTTTGTATTTCTGCAGTGGGCCTTACAATCTCACCTCTTTCCACCCACAGTTTCTTCTTAAAACACATATTACATTTACTGTTTTGACGCATTTTAACGAGCTTCCTCCGCGCCGTGATTTCATTGTAGGACACAAACTTTACAGCACTCTCACGGAGTAAAGATTTGGCAGATGTTTGTTTACATTTTTGCCGCTGGGCGTCTACAGTGTTAGGGAAAGGAAGGGAGGGGCTGACGCGATGCTGCTGTCAGGGTATCTCTAGGCTCCACAGTAGCAGCGACGGACGGCTGGTTTTACCGGCTCTGAGAGGCGTAAATCAGAATTTGCAGATAGCGTTTTTTTCCATCTACTAGTGATGTCTGTACTTAAAAGCAACTCATTAGATTCATAGTTATTTGTTAAAGTAATGCATTACCATGAATAGTAATGTGTTTACCAACATTTGTTATGTATATTACTGATTGCAAAAACACCCCTAGGTCTTTTGTCTTCTCTTTTTACTGAATTTTTTTCTTTTATATATTTCTGCTTGGTTCACTGCAGTTTCAAGGAAGAGAGAAGAGACGGATGAGAAACCTCTGCTCTTACATTTCCACAACCATCAAATGAAAGACGGAGGTGTCCCAACCAGCAGCTTGGCTGGGCAGATGACAGCAAAAGTTGGTGGAGGAGCAGAAACTATCAAGAACCTAGATCTGGACCCTAATGAAAAGACATCCGATTCTTCAGAGATTGAAGTTAGTGGAGAAGATGAAGATGATTTGAATCTAGACTCTGAGCGTTCAGACTCTGGGCCTGAAACTGGAAACGGAGACCATGGCTGTAATGAGAACAAGTCTTCGGAGTCAGATATTAGGACAGTCAACAAATCATTTAGCTGCCCTGTGTGTGGTATACGGTTCCTCCACCAGTGGTCTCTTCAGGAACATGTGAGAGTGACAAGTCATTCAGCAGTAAAGTCGTCAGAGTGTTTGGTTAATACAAAATGTGTGAAAGAGAAGCAACATGGAGGCTCATGTAGAAAAGTCCAGAAAGAACCAAAATCATTTAGTTGTGATGAATGTGGGAAAAGATTTAGCCAAAAGTCCAGTTTAACCCGTCATATGAAAGGCCACACCGGGGAGAAGCCTTTTGCCTGTGAGCTCTGTGTGAAAAGGTTTAGCCAAAAAACTAGTTTAAACACACACATGAGAGTCCATACAGGAGAGAAGCCTTTTGCCTGTGAGCTCTGTGGATACAGATGTACCCAAAAGGCAAATTTAAATGATCACATGAGAGTCCACACAGGAGAGAAGCCTTTTGCCTGTGAGCTCTGTGGATACAGATCTACCCATAAGGAAAATTTAAACAGACACATGAAAGTCCACACAGGAGAGAAGCCTTTAGCCTGTGAGCTCTGTGGGAAAAGGTTTAGCCAAATAACTGGTTTAAACACACACATGAGAGTCCACACCGGGGAGAAGCCTTTTGCCTGTGAGCTCTGTGGATACAGATGTACCCAAAAGGCACATTTAAATGATCACATGAAAGTCCACACAGGAGAGAAGCCTTTTGCCTGTGAGCTCTGTGGGAAAAGGTTTAGCCAAAAAACTAGTTTAAACACACACATGAGAGTCCACACCGGGGAGAAGCCTTTTGCCTGTGAGCTCTGCGGATACAGATGCACCCATAAGGCAAATTTAAATGATCACATGAGAGTCCACACAGGAGATAAGCCTTTTGCCTGTGAGCTCTGTGGATACAGATACACCCAAAAGTCAAGTTTAAACACACACATGAGAGTCCACACAGGAGAGAAGCCTTTTGCCTGTGAGCTCTGTGGATACAGATGTACCCATAAGGCACATTTAAACACACACATGAGAGTCCACACAGGAGAGAAGCCTTTTGTTTGTGAGCTCTGTGGATACAGATGTACCCATAAGGCAAATTTAAATGATCACATGAAAGTCCACACAGGAGAAAAGCCTTTTGCCTGTGAGCTCTGTGGATACAGATTTAGCAGAAAGACAAATTTAAAGAGACATACAAGCATCCACAAAATGCTCGAGGGATTTATTTAACAACAGTACTTCCAAATGTACTATTTAGTTTTTTGTACAACCTTAACATTAGTCTTGTACCTCTTGCTCAACTATCGTTGATCCGAGTCCGTACTTGGCCCTTGAGCCACCTCTTCTTTTGATTTTCATTTTCAAATCTCCTTTGTTTTTTAAACTCAGCCTTAACCAAAAATTTGAGATGTTCATTCATGAATTCTGAATACAAAAAATATTACTTAAAGGGGCATTATGGAAGTTTGACAGCCAAAACATGTATAGAAATAATAAATGTCTTTTTCATACATTCTCCCGCGATGCCCTGGTCCTGTAGAATGAGCCCTGGCATTTTTACTGTGATTGCCTATTCTTCTGTAAAATCACAGAAAAAGATAGCTGCTCGGGTCAAGCAGGCTGCTTCATGCGCGTTCACGCTCAGGCATAGCCCTCCGAACAGTTCTTTGAACGTTATTTCAGTTGTCAACAAGCATATAAATGTTACAGATACAAATGACGTCACTGGCGCTAAAGCACGCCTGGTAAGACGTCGGACTTTCGTGCTGAAGACCCGGGTTCGGTTCTGTGAACATAGGTTATTTAGAGTTTCTTTTTTACATTAATGGTATATTTTTTTACAGTAAGATGCCCAAATTTTTATTTGAGACTCGCCGAACGGCATTGAATTCACAGATAAAAAAGAAGTGGGTTCAACTTTCATTTTGAACAATTTTTCAAGAGCATACAGGAGGACTCACCCATCTTAAACCTTTGTCGGCTGTGCTGAAGAGGAAGGTACAGAACCAAATTATTTAATGAATTAGCTGCGCATTCTCCTGACCTCTGTCCTCCAGGCCACACACACACACAAGGGACTGTCTCAGCTGTTATTTTCATTCAGGAGTGTGCACGTACATCATGCGCGCCTCGTGCACGAGCCTACTATTGAAGCTGCCGTTACGCTTTTGGCCTTAGGGGGCAATTGCGAGCATAAAAATTCAAAACTCCCTTAAGTCCCTTTAAAGATTAAGAAAAAACTGTTATACCCTCCTGTATTTAAGAAACAGACTAGATAACAGGTACATGATGGTTGTAGTACGTAACCCACTGCAATTTAAAGCTGTTAGATACCAGTGGCGTCTGCTTTAAACAATTTATATGTATATAAAATAATAGCATACAATGTTGTAGTAACTGCAGCTTAAAAAGAATGTGTCTTTATTCATGTGGATCCCCTAAGAAGAAATCCCACAGTGGGAGCTGAAGGCTGTGTTTGCGTACGTGATGTGTTACATCCTGTTTTCAGCCAAGTTTGAGATCATTTCCAGTAAGAGAGCTGACCAGAGTGATGAGATGCACGTGTGCGCCTCGTGGTCCAGCCAAAAGTATTAGATGTTTCCAGTAAAAGGACGTGTTTATCTGACTTTCAATTTTTTTTAATCTTTCAATTAACTCCAAAGAAATTCCATCACAGTGGAAGTCAGCATATGTTTTACCATTATTAAAAGGAGGAGATCCAGCAGTTTTGACAAATTATAGGCCAATATCAAATTTAAGCGTGCTTTCCAAGATAATGGAGTCACTTGTCAGTGTTCAGCTAAAAGAGTTTTTGTCTATTAATGACATCCTCTCGAAATGTCAATCGGGTTTTAGAAAAGGGTACGGCACTACTACAGCTGTTATGAAGGTGGTAAATGATATTATAGTAGCACTTGATAGGAAACAGTTTTGTGCCTCACTGTTCATAGACCTGTCTAAAGCTTTTGATACCGTTGACCATGCTATTTTAATAAACAGATTACTAAGCCTTGGGTTGTCAGAGCACTCAGTAGCATGGTTCTCAAATTACCTGACTAACAGGACACAGTGTGTTAAATGTGAGGATCTTTGCTCTGATTTTGGGGTTGTCCGGAGGGGGGTGCCCCAGGGCTCAGTCCTGGGGCCCCTCCTATTTATCTTGTACATCAATGACTTGGGCCAAAATATTAAAGATGCTAATATCCATTTGTATGCTGATGATACGATTATCTATTGTTTTGGAACATCACTTTCTCAGGTTGTTGAATCCTTGCAGAAAGCATTTGACTTGGTCCGGCACTCATTGCATCAGCTAAAGCTAACCCTTAATGCTGAGAAGACTAAGTTGATGATTTTTGCAAATAGGCAAATACCGAATAGTGTTCCTAAACTAATCACATTGGAAGGGAAAGTCATAGAGATGGTCCATGAGTATAAGTACTAGGTGTTTGGATAGATAACTCCCTTACCTTTAAATCTCATATAGATAAACTGGTGAAAAAATTAAAACTAAAGCTGGGTTTCTACCTCCGTAATAAGTCGTGTTTTTCTTTTGAAGGAAAAAGGCAACTTGTCACAACTACCTTTTTATCTGTAGTAGATTATGGTGATCTTATATATATGAATGCTTCTTTAACTGTGCTACAAAAACTGGACTCTGTTTACCATGCGTCTCTGAGATTCATAACAAACTGTAGAGCCATTACACATCACTGTGAATTATATTCACGAGTGAAATGGCCGTCATTGGCAATAAGAAGACAAAATCATTGGTTTGTTTTTATTTACAAGGCAGTGTTTGGATTGTTACCTCCTTATATTTGCACATTAATCACACGAAAAAATGTTGATTCCTATTCTTTAAGGTCTAACGATCAGTTGCTACTTTCTGTTCCTTTTGCTTGCACACAGTTAGGAAAAAAAGCCTTCGCCTGCTCTGCTCCTTCTGCTTGGAACCAGCTGCAGAAAACCTGGAAAATGACTGAGCAGGTTTCACTACATGCCTTTAAAACCAAACTGAAAGCTTCAGAGTCTGCATTAGTAACTTGTAACTGCTTTTAATGATTGAGTGTTTTTATCATTGTCTTTAAGTTGTAACAGTTTTTATTATTTGCTGCCTCTTGGCCAGGACACCCTTGTAAAAGAGGTTCTTAACCTCAATGGGTCTCTATCCTGGTTAAATAAAGGTTAAATAAATAAATAAAAAATAAAAAGTTTGGCCACGAGCAGATGTTTCCTGTCCTTGTAAGGCTTGCTGGTAATGAGGGAGACAGTTTCAATTCATGTGTATGTGTGAGGCCCATTTCCTAAGCTACGCAGGAGTGACGTCAGTAAAGGGTATAAATGGTCTCTCATTCGATGGGAGACAGGCTTTTTGGAGATCTGCAGCCGAAGGCTCTACACATTCTGGCTGAACGCTGTCCTAAAGATTGGTTTTGTATTACTGTACTGTACAACAAAAGCCCCATGCAGTGAGGACAAACGTGTCTAACTCTCTTGTCTTCTGATAAGGAAAAGAACCACACCACCTTAAAGGCTGTGGAGAAATAGCTGGGACTGATGTCAAGAAGTCATAAATTACAAGGCGGCTGTGGAGACTCCATTCTCCTACAATAGCATTTTGCTATTCTAAGCAGGCTTAGGAATGTGCCTGAGGGTCTGAGTTTGGAGTATCCGGACGTTCCCTGGAGGTGGGTTCACTGGGGGTGTCTGGGACTGGGGGGCTGTTGCCCCCCTCTGGAGGTGCTTGGGTTGCCCCAGGGGGTGGACTACTGGCGGTTGTGAGTGGGGCCCCTTGGAGGTCTTGGCGGCAGCCATGGGTCGCTGCCTGGCAGCTGCATTGCCCCTGGGCAGGTCTGGGTGGGGTCTCGGGGTGTGGGGGTGGCTGGGCCCGTGTGGGGATCTGGGTGGGGCCTTGGGGGTCGGGTACTGACATGTATGCTGCCGGGAAAAAGGCAGGAACATGCAGCAGTGCCTGGCCCGGGTTCAGGGGCCTCGGGTAGACCTTGGCTCCTCTGCTGTCCCATCACGGGGGAGGGGGAAGTCCAGGAGGGGGAGGACCCAACCTTACCTGGATGTCCTATGTCTTATATATTCTGGAAGTTGTGCAAATGCAGGGATGGGCGTAGATATTCTGCTGAGGTGGGGCTGGGTTGGTGCCCTCGGACTCGGTGGGGCTCTGCAATGCTGCTGCTTTGGGCCCTGGCAGGATGGGCTGGGGTCTTCATGCCCTGGGTGGCATTTTGACAACAGAGGTGCCTATTGGGGCCAGTGGGGGGCTGGCTCCCTGGAGGGTTAAGCCCAACCAGCCATTCCTCCCCATCCCCACACATTTCTCTCCTCCTGCTCCCTCACATCATCACACAAACATACACATAGGGCCTTGGGGGGTGGACAAGTCAGGGAGTGCGGGTATGGACCCCATTTCTGCATTCCTGTGGCAACCTGTCCCCCAATTTTATTTGCACCTTATACACTTCCACCGACGACATTCCACGCAAACACACACTTAGGGCCTTGGGAGTGAGCACATTCAACGGCATTTGGCAGGGGGATTTCTCAGCCTCCTCCCGAGTGCCAGTGCACACTTCCAATTTTAAACTGCACTTAGACACCGAGGGCTGCGGGTGCAAGTGGGGTGGTGCAGTGGCATCCGCTGGCATAGGCCAGACAATGCCTGCACTGCCCGCTCACCACAGCCATGGAATACACCTCATCAACACACAACACTATAATGGAGCAGGCGGAGGGAGACTAGGGGTCTTAGCACACCTCTGTTGTTGCTTGGCTTCCTGGGGCTGGAGACTAGGAGGGAGATCTGGCCGTCTGGTTGGGGTCTGGGGTGGTGGGTTGCTGGGCTCGGCGTTGGGCGGGGGAGCCTGCTCATCAGCACCCCAGCAGAAAGGGTCAAACTCTGGTAACCGGGGATGGTTGTACCCAATGTGCAGCAGTACCGGGACCAGAGTAAATAGGGTATGTATGGGGAGCATGAGTGGGTGTTCGGCATGCATTTTTGTAAGTCTTTGGTTGTATGTGTATGTGTGACCATGAGGGAGGGAGTGTGTGACTGTGTTTGTGTATGACTGTATATGTCAGGTGGGGCCTTTGACTCCTCCCCTCTCCTGGGACCTCCTTTGATGATATAGATCTTCGTCTCCCCTCCCCCTGCCACACCTGGTGCGGGGTGTGGTGCCTTGGTCTGCCTGAGTGTTCGTGGCTCCCGGGTCAGGGGGTTTAAGATCTTTGGCGCCTGCCTGGTCAATCCCGGTGGCTGCCTGGTGGGGTCTGGGTCCCTGGGCTCTGCTGGGTCCTCGGCGGGGATGGTCGCCCCTGGGTCCCGGGTCGCTGGGTCCCGGGCTCGGCCGGCTAGGGGGTGGGAGGCGGCAGGCGGGCCTGTGGGCTTGCCGCTGATATCTCCCGGGACTCTGCCGGCTGCTGGTTGTGGCCACCCGGGACAATCCTCTGCGCCTCTCGAGGGGGGCGGGGGGCCTTTCCGGTTGCAGTCCCCTTGGGGTTCCTGTGTTCTGGGGCAGCGCCTGGATCTCTGGGACTTGGAGCTCCCCCCCGTCTCCTACGCATCTTTGAGGGCAGATCTGTGGTCCCTCACACTCTCTATTGGACACTCCTATAGAGAAACCTTACATAAACAAGCGCGTGTACACACACAGGTGCTCACATGGTGCTCTCAAAAGTATGGGCTTGGGCACATTCAACAATTGTCTTAAGGCTGTCGTTGCCACTAAATGAACTGTGATTTATTATCGTGTGATTGTTCAGTTAAACAATGTTGATTTTATGTTTCGTCATCACGTTGACGTAGTGATAGCTTGCTCCTGATGTATTGTTGTGTGTCCCATTTTTTTCTGCTCTTCTCTTTCTGCAGTTCTAGAAGCAGACTCTTGTTCATTACTGTTTATTTTTGTGGAACCCCCCTCTCTCTTCCCACCATTTGTCCTTTCCTTTCTCTTTCACCTCTGTCTCCGTGTATGGTTGGAATTACAAAGTATTCAAAACAATAACAATAAAATTTGAAGTATCAGGCGTGACATTTAAAGCAGACGCTTTGATGCTCCACCTAAGAATAAATCTGTAAGGCTTGTTACCAGCATTCAGACATCAATTCTGCTTGCTTCACAGCCAGACAGGACACGGTTTAAAAAAAAAAAAGAAAGGAAATCAGCTTTAGTCTTCAGTTTGTTCTCAACGCTGACGTCGTTAGGTCCGTTTTAGGGGGGCTTCAGCCCCCCTAAAATAATCACAAGCCCCCCTATCTTTGAGTTTTTTAGGGCTGGGACCTTAACGCGTTATTTTGATTAATTAGAAAAAAAACGACACGCTAAAAAAATGTCACGCATTTAATCGCAGCTTGCGTTTCGAGCACGACGGAACCTTTGTCATTGCACGACTTCCTCGTAGACAGAATATCACTGACGCACACAACAATGCACAGTGCTGATGGCTACTAAAACGGAATAGTTGCCTTGCTTGGACTGATGCAGGATTTAGGAAACACGTCCGCCTCTTTTCTTAACTTGAAAAAAAAAACTTCCAGGCAACAACGGAGTCCGTGTCGCGGACATTTTTCAGAGATCGTCTCTTCTTCGGCTGCCCGATGGCACTGGAAACTTTACAAAAGTTGCGGTAAGCTATATTTTTAACATTTACGTAGCATCTGTGCAGCGCTGAAAGCACCAGACAGAATAATTCTGTGCCCTAACAGTAGTTTATGAAAGTAGTCAGACAAACGAGAGGCACCTGGCTGCCGCTGGGAGAACGCTCTGTGTTCTCACTACTCTGTAAAAAATCACAGACAACGTGAAAGTTAAAGTTGAAAACAGAAGTTTAAGTTAAAACAGAAACACTCTAAAACTTTTCTGATTTTCTAAACAATTCTGTCGGGGAGTTATACGTTTCTGAGACGAGTCTCTGTCTAAACATCATCGCATGCATTACTATCATTAAGCAGCGAGGTGTGTTGAAGCTGTCATCAGCTAAGGGGCGGATGCTTAAGTGCATCAGGGGCAGCGAGAAAGTTGTGGTCAGGCTGGAGATCACACCAGATTCGCTACTGCAGGTGTGAATCTGCGGGTCTGCAGTATCCCCGTATTAACGTGACATCAGGACTTCCCATGTAAGGAAGGTCCGCTCACCTGTTCATCAGATCATTATTTCCTCGCCATGATCTTTTATCTTCCCATCACCCTCCAGTCATCCAACTGGAACCAGTTAGTGTTCCTGATCATTCTCAGAATATGTCACGCCTGCTCTGGTGTTTAAAGTTAGTACATTTAAGTCCTAGTCAGGGGTGTCAAACATGTGGCCCGAGATGGTTGTGTAAACTTTATTTTCATACTTTACAATGTAGAGTGAAAATAAACTTATCTTTGTGAGCAAGTTTTCTCTGTAATGAGTATAAATAAAACAAAGCTGCGCTCAAGGCTCACACAAGAACTTGAATCACATCCTGAAGTTGGCGGCCACTCAGGATGGGACTTCTGATACTGATGTGCTGGTGAAAGCTAAAAGATGTAAAGTAAAATGAGTCAAATATACTTTAAGTGCTGCATGAAACTGATCTAGCCATGTGATCTGTAAGCTCTTTGAATCACTAAGGAATGTTTTTTATTTTTATTTATTTTTCAAATTTTCAAGTACACTTCAGGTGTTGTACTTGTACTATTTTGGATACATTGTCCTCAGGCTCCAACTTTGTTTTAAATTGATTGTATTAAAACAAAGAAAACAATCTGAAGTTGTTTTTAATTTACCGGTCCAGCCAACTTGGGACTAGATTTCCCTCAATGTGGCCCCTGAGCTAAAATGAGTTTGACACCCCTGTCCTAGATCATATTTGTGCCTGTTCTACTGTCATTTTGAAGGATTATTATTTATGTGTTTTTACTACATTATGAGTAGAAATGCTAATAAAAACTCCCAATTATACAAACAAGTGAAACTGGAAAAATTAGAATCTGGTGCAAAGTCAAATTTATTTCAGTAATTCAACTAGACAGAGAGACTATTTAAAGGCTCAGGAACCCTTTGCAGGCGTTTTCTATTTGTAATTATAAATTTTAGTTGAGTTGGATCTTGTTTCATAACACACAGTGACATTTGATTAATTAAAATGCATTTTTTTATTAAAAGCTTTAGTTTTACAGTAATAACTATGTTTAATGTTTAATTCTCTGTCTCATAATTTTAATTAAGTTTTGCTTTGAGAGCACATTTTCCTGAACGATTAAAATGCAATTAATTTAGATGAATTAATTACAAAGCCTCTAATTAATTAGATTAAAAATTTTAATCAAGTCCCAGCCCTAATTTTTATATATACTGTTATTTTGTCTTGTAATTGTTAATTACATACTCCTTTATTCCATAACATATCAGTGTTATTCATATATTAAAACTGTCACTGCACACTCATTTGGCAGAATAAAAGTTTGACAATTATTCATTTGTTCTTTGTCATATTTCAGTAACATTTATAATCAAGCAAGTTGTAATTAAACAAATTAAGCAAATGACTGCAACATCTCCCCATGTTAAGTGCAGCAGACTGAAATGAATAGCTTTATTTGGAAATATAACATATCTAATTTTTAATGGACTTATATAAAATCTTTCTTCAACATAGACCCCACTAATGAACTGATTAAGTGTTTTTTTATAAAAAGAAGAGAGAAAATGCACAAAGGTAGGAAAGGAAAAGAAAGTGGTAAAAAATAGGTTTTGTTAAATGTTCTTCATATAATGAATTAATTGACAAAGTTTTTGCAGGGTGTGAAAAAAATGTTCAAGGTCAAGCTCCTGGGGCTAAGCCCCCCCTATATCTCAATCCTAGTGATGTCCATGGTTCTCAATGTGCATGGCATAACGGATGGTGGCCCTCGGTAGTTTAGAAACTCTGGATACGGCCCTGCTACTGACTCTCGTCAGAAGCGCATGCGAAGCACCACAGCTTGAGAGGAAGAAGCCAAGGGCTTTTCAAAATAAGGTAAAATTTTCACGTTTCATGATATTTTAATTATTTCAAGCTATGATTATGGTTAGCATAAGTGCGTAAATATAGGCTATATATGTTTCACGCCTTACGTTGTTGTACAGTAGTGTAACGGGTTGCGATTTGTTATGGTTGGACTTTTATGTTGAAGGGACGTTCTTGGCCGGCTGTGTGCAGAGTTCCGGTTCGGTTGTTTAGAAGAAAACGAGCTAGTGTGATCGGAGATCGTTAACGGTGTTTCTGCTGGAGTTAAGACGTGGGCTGTGCTGCGGCCAACAGTAACCCGGAATAAAGATCCGAAACGGAAACAACAAGTTGGAGTCATTAGCATCTCTTAGAAAAGGCAACAAAAGTGTGTTTTATAGGTGTGGTGGCTTTTGTTGAGCCGTGGCGGTGCGACACGAACTAGTGTAGCCCAGCAGAAAGGCCCCGCGGCTGGCTGGACCCAGCTCGACACAGCAGCAGAGCGGTAAGCTTCATATCACTCTAAAATGTCGGCTAACTTTACACGTTTACACTATTTTTCTGCCCTGTCTGTTTATTATCTTCCTGCATCTCCTCTCAATCCTAAAGAAAAACTGCTACCTGGGTTCATATATATTCACCTCATGAGTTACCTTTGAACTGCAGCTCTAAAAGATCTCCCGACCGCAAAAACAATAAACAGACAGGACAGAAAAATAGTCAAATATAAACAAGTTAGTTTTTGTACCTGGTAGCAACAAACAGACACCATTGAAGGTAATCAGAAGTGAGGAACAGAAAATGAAATAATTATTTTAATGTCTAGAGCAGCAGGAACTCCGAGAGAGTGCAGGCGCATCAGTTTGCTGCTGCTGCGCAGGGGGAGGGGGGAGAGGACTGAAGTAGGATGCAGAAACTAACGTTGTTAAAGGAGATGTGTTAACTTAGAAAATGTGGGCGCAATTTCAATTGTCAAAAACTCCGGCAAACCTACCGACCCCCCCCCCCCCCCCTTTCAGGTGTATGACGTCATCAACGACTAGTCGAAGTCTACTCGATTTTCATTACTTGACTGTCGACTTTAAAAAAAATTAAGTCATGCAACCCCTAGTTAGCGGCTCCGTCCTCTTCTTCTGCTAGGCAACAGCATTTGTTGCATTTTTCAAACAGGAAGAGTGAGTTGAGTAAGAATCTGGTAGGAGGTGACTTGCTCTTTAAAAGATAAATGTTATTATCAGTTATATTAAAATGGTGTAAAAAACCTTCTTAATGTCTTAATCTTTATAAAATTAGTAAAAATAGTTTAACTTGTGGGTCGCCATTGTTGTTAGCGTCGCACTGCACTCTGGGTAGTGACGTCATATGGTTGTACCTCGGTCTCACCGGCGGCTTTGGGACCCTGTAGTGACTGTTGAGTGACATCAACACGTCATCTGTTCAGCTGTTTCACTTTGAACCAGAGCGAAACATTAATGATGACATCACTGACCATGTTTCACAAAACGAGCATCAACATGAAGAGCAAGAAGGGCGGGATGAAGCGAGAGCAGGGCAGAACCGGTGGCGCGTGTGCGGCAAATGCGTCTCCATGGTAACCGAGAGGGAGAGAGCTCACATTTGTGTCAGCAGAAGTTATCAGTAAGCTATCGTGTGATCAGATTTATTCAATGATGAATGATTTAGGAGAATTTTAGCATCCAGAGCTGTCGTGAAACTTTAGATTATAAATAATGCTAAACCACTTAAAAACTCCGTACTTTATTATGTGTAAGTGCTAGCTAAATATGTTATTGCAGAGAGCAATCTCAAAGTGCAACAGAAAGAGTCACAGCTTATACAGAAAATACCAGCTTAGGGTTATTCTGTGAATAAAGAATCTTTAAACGTTATTTGAGGTGAACCTTAACCTTAACTTGTATCTTATGAAGATGTGTATGAGTGTAGATAATGATTAACTTGTTAAATCAAACACAGTGATTTGTGATATAAATGTATCATTATAAGAACAAAATTCATTTCATATTCATTGATTTAAGCACAGGTTATTCAAACATTTGATGTAAACATCTTGTTCATTCATCACATATGATCATTTATATCATAAGTTGTAAAAGCTTTCATACACGCCAGAGCTGCAATGTCAAGGTTACACCAGCTGGAGTATTCAGACGCACAGATCAACCTTTTGCTCATTTTTTGTTCTTCAACACAGACATGAATAAACTGCCAAGGTCTCCCACAAAAACCTTATCTCTGCTAAAAATCAGACTGCTGGATTCCTCACTCTGAATAAAAGTGAATCCACACAAGTCCTACAAGGTTGTTACAGCTTGTGATATAAATAATTGTAATGAAATAGATTTACAGTTAATTAATGAGCCATAAGGCGTGGGATTCCCTAGTAAATCTGGAATCCACCTTAAGGATCGCAGGGTTATTTAAACCAGAAGATTGGATCTTTTTATTGCAGAGATTATGTAACCGCTACGTATTCACTCAGAGATAACAGAAGAGAGAGAGTCAAGTTTAAAAGTTAAGAATTTTATTACTAACAAATTAAACTAGACTGACTATAAACTAAATGTATAGTGTAACTAAAAATGGATGAGACGGTGTATGGATGACGTGTGATGTTAAATCAGAACCAGCAAATTCGAAGAAGCGATTGTTCTGACGGGAAGTGAAGATGTTGTTTTGCATTAAGCTTTGGTTAGCTTCAGAAACACGAGACACCATCATGCCGGTCTACCTTGCCTTCGGTGGAAGTCCTCTGTAGATCAGGAATATCGAGGTCCAGTGAACCCTCTCTGGAGCCGAGCCAGTAGGAAAAGCCGCGGTTCCGATCAAACCCGTCTTGAGTTACTTCCGGGCACATGACACGTTTATTGGCGTCTGGTGAGACCCAATCCTGGGTCGGTGGATGGAGCTTTTATTCTGAAAGGAGCTGTTGTTGCCGCTGGTTGGTATAGCGACTGGATTTTTCAGCTTGTCGTTGGTTCTTTCGGTTAAAGAGTATAGATCAGGATTGGCCACTCCGTCACTTTCTCTGGAACGCTTTGAACTGGCGTTAGAGATGACGTGGCGTAGTTTTAAACTTTGGATGTTACGGTTTGTTGTCGAATGAAAATGACCAAACACCATCAGAAGCACGCCTCCGTCAGATCTGTAAGATTCTGATTGGATCAGTGAAAGTAATGTGGAATGTCTTTTTAACACTACGTGAAATGAGTCCTGTTGGAACATTTAAAGTCATATTATTAATAATAATAATAATAATGCATTGAACTTATATAGCGCTTTTCTAGACACCCAAAGACGCTTTCACACACTCTCACATTCACACATTGCTAGTGATGGTAAGCTACTTGTAGCCACAGCCGCCCTGGGAAGGTCTGACAGAGGCGAGGCTGCCATTTGTTGCCGTCGGCCCCTCTGACCACCACTAACACAGGCAAGTTGGGTGAAGTGTCTTGCCCAAGGACACAACAGCAGGATACCCCTGGCGGGAGCTGGAATCGAATCCAACATGAGGCAACCTGCTCTACCACCTGAGCTACTGCTGCCCCAATATAATATTACTTATTATATTTCGATAGGATCATAAAAAAGTAATTAATATTTTGATTTCACAGATCGGTCACATCTTATTTATTGACTAACACTTTGATGGATTAGCTTTATTAAAAGTAGAGTTCTTTGATTAATTAAAAGAAAGAGTCCATTCCTCATTCTTCTGTTGAGCTGAAAATAAGCAGGTTAGAAGGAATGCATGAGACCTTGAGACTCTCATGCAGACTAGTTCTGAGCAGAGAAGGGAAAAAACAGTCTTCCGTTCCGTTACATAATCATATGTGATGAATGAACAAGATCTTAACATCAAATGTTTGAATAACCTGTGCTTAAATCAATGAATATGAAATGAATTTTGTTCTTATAATGATGCATTTATATCACAAATCACTGTTTGATTTAACAAGTTAATCGTTATCTACACTCATACACATCTTCATAAGATACAAGTTAAGGTTAAGGTTCACCTCACATAACGTTTAAAGATTCTTTATTCACAGAATTAAGAATCTTGTATCTGAAGGAAGGCATTTGAATGTCTCAGCAGTAATGGAGACTCATCAGACCAGGCAACATTTTTCCAGTCTTCAACTGTCCAGTTTTGGTGAGCTGGTGCAAATTGTAGCCTCTTTTTCCTATTTGTAGTAGAGATGAGTGGTACCCGGTGGGGTCTTCAGCTGTTGTAGCCCGTCCGCCTCAAGGTTGTGCGTGTTGTGGCTTCACAAATGCTTTGCTGCGTTCCTCGGTTGTAACGAGTGGTTATTTCAGTCAAAGTAGCTCTTCTATCAGCTTGAATCAGTCGGCCCATTCTCTGACCTCTAGCATCAACAAGGCATTTTGGCCCACAGGACTGCCGCATACTGGAAGTTTTTCCCTTTTCACACCGTCGTCGTCGTCTTCCTCCGCTTATCCGGGTCTGGGTCGCGGGGGCAGCATCCCAATTAGGGAGCTCCAGACCGTCCTCTCCCCGGCCACCTCCACCAGCTCCTCCGGCAAGACCCCAAGGCGTTCCCGGACCAGATTGGAGATGTAATCTCTCCCAACGTGTCCTGGGTCGACCCGGGGGCCTCCTGCCGGCAGGATATGCTCGAAACACCTCCCCAGGGAAGCGTCCAGGAGGCATCCTGACCAGATGCCCAAACCACCTCAACTGACTCCTTTCGATCTGGAGGAGCAGCAATTCTACTCCGAGTCCCTCCCGAATGTCCGAGCTCCTCACCCTATCTCTAAGGCTGAGCCCAGCCACCCTACGGAGGAAACCATTTTCACACCATTCTTTGTAAACCCTAGAAATGGTTGTGGGTGATAATCCCAGTAACTGAGCAGATTGTGAAATACTCAGACCGGCCTGTCTGGCATCAACAACCATGCCGCGCTCAAAATAGCTTACATCACCTTTCTTTCCCATTCTGACCTTCAGTTTGGAGTTCAGGAGATTGTGTTGACCAGGACCATGCCCCTAAATGCAGGGTGGTAGAGACGTATGGAGACGGTCGTTCTGAGACATGAGACTGTGTTTTTGGTGAACATTAATGCAGGAGTGTGTAAAACAGCTTATGTTTAATTAACATTAAATAAAATATTTATTTAACTTGACTTGACATAAATTGTAATGCTTGACTCCATTTTTGGTTCTTTATAAAACACAGGAAAGGTTTTTCTTTACCTGCTAACGTTTCGTTTGCCGACTGCAAAACATCCTCAGAGCTTACGCTGATGGTGGCGTCAATTCCTTCTTTGTTTATCTGCCGTTACCATACACAAAATGTCAGTAATCAGAACATTATATCACCGAACAAACATGGTAACAGAAGAAAGAGACCGTAAACAAGAGGACAAACACATACAACACGCTGTAAAGACCTGCGGATACCCGACATGGGCAATAAACAAAGAAAAACAACAATAAAACAGAAAGAAAAGAAACACCAAAGCAAAGAACCAAAAACCCAGAAAGACAAGAACCAAAACCAGTGATAACCCTACCATACATTAAAGACATAACAGAAAAAATAAGAGCAACAATGAAAAAACACAACATAAACACACCAACAAAACCATACACAACAGTTAGAAACAGACTAGTACACCCAAAAGACAAAATACCAGCTGGACTTAAATGTGGAGTCGTTTACGAAATCCCATGCAAAATATGCAATAAAACATACATAGGAGAAACCGGACGCCAACTCAACACATGAACAATAGAACATAGAAAGGAGTGCGAGAAAGAAACAAGTCAAACACACAAGAGCAGCAAAAGAAGAAGCAGAAAGAACAATAAAGAAGTCAGCCGTAACAGATCACTGCACAAGAGAAAACCATATAATGGACTGGGACAACACAAGGATCATAAACACCGAACAACAGAAATACAAAAGATGGATAAAGGAAGCCATAGAGGAAACGTGGATGTGGGACCATGAACAGGGACGATGGGGTCTACACATTGGATCTTGCATGGGACTGCATCATCAGTGAGGGTAGAACGAGCAGAAGAGGGCGACAACGTCCTCTGCTGCCCGCAGATATACGGAGAAGGAAGTGACGCCACCATCAGAGTCAGCTCTGACGATGTTTTGCAGTTGGCAAACGAAACGTTAGCAGGTCAAGTAAAACCTTTCCTGTGTTTTAAAAAGAACCAAAAATGGAATGAGAAACTGGACACAGTAAGAACATACCAAATATGTAATGCTTGACTGTTGTGCTACAGCCATGGGAGGAACATTTTGGGTCCCAGCCAGATTCTCTGCTTCCCTGCTGCTCTCTCTATCATCATGCTGCTCCTTGCTCTGCCTCTCCACTTGTCTCTCCTTCACTCACCTCCTCCACTTCAGCCTACTTGTCTAATATATTAGCCATGTTACAAGCTAATTTACCGGGTTAGCTCCACTCTTCTAGATGTTATTAAATTCTCAGAGTTTGGCTTGTAATTGGTGTAGTGAGCGTGGCATCAGTTACCAACAAACACCCTTACTTTGTAGAGAGTTGATTAGCAATCACCAAATTACCCATGACTTCTAATTCTGACCAAAATATCTTTAAGTAGAAATAAGGAGGCTCAAACACACCTACACACACCCTCAGTCCATGAAGCTTATGTACACGTCATGTTAAGATCCTTGCCAGCTGTTCCTTTTATGCTGAGGAGACAACTGACTTTACCAGTAGCCTAGGATGGAGGAAACACTTATATCAATACCTTGGGATGGCATTCACAACCAGCATCTCACCTTTGCTCAGTTACGGACAGGAGACCCTACTCGTAAATCCTTTTTCGTTCCACAAATCCGAGGAACTAGGCTTTATTTCACACAGATGAAAAAAGAATAATAATCCAAACAAACCCCGACAAAGCGGGATAAAAAATGAAACAACTCTTTGCCAATAAACCGAGTTATAGTTGAGCTGAATAAGCTCTCCAAAAATGACACTAGGTCAGATTATCACAGACAAATACCTCACAAACTCATCCCGTCAAAGGCTAACTCTCCTAAAATGTCTCAAAAGCCTTTCTCCAAAAAGCTCCGTCCGTGACTGACTGACTCTCACTCATCCCGTCAAGCTCATTCCTTTTTACAGACCCCGTATCTTCCTTTTATTCACTCTGTCCTCCTCCCCTCTGCCTTCTTCAGGGGTGCGTCTCCATGGCAACACCTCCCACTTCGGGGACTCCAGTCTGGTCACATGATCTTCCTCTTCTTCTTGTTACTTCTCCAGCGGCCCTGAAGAGACCATAAATCTTGGATGTCATGATGTTACCTTTTATTCTCCCAGTCTTCGTCCGACTTCAGGGGTGATAAGAGACAAGGCTGTAGGGACACACACACGGATACACTTTGGAAAGCCTAGAATTGATTTCACATAATGAGAGACATAATCCAGACTTAATTCCATACATTAACAAGTCTGATTATACTCTATACAAAAAGCCACATGTTAGATTCCCTTCAATCACCAATAGGAACGTTGGGAATATCACGCGTATCATGGTACAGATCACTCAGAGGGGACTGGATCACGATAAAGAACAATGAGCATCTTCATCTAACATTACCTCAACATCTTCCTCGGCTTCCTTCCTTCTTCTGAAAATGCGAGCAGAAATGAGTCTCTGTGGGAACATGACCCGACATTAAGCTGTACGCTGTTACCGATCTGGAATTACGCATTAACGACAGACCACATTGACTACGTTACTGTTCACATGTAGCAGCGTGCGTTAGCATGAAGCTGGTTTTCACAGGTCTGAACTAAAAATGCCTTCTTCTAACGTAAGGTTCCTTTCTTCCACTTTTTCTCTCCCTGTAGTTTTCTTTAACTCGTGAGAGCAGCGCACCGCACAGAAGCCGACTCCTTCGCACACGGGGAAAAACGGCAGTACTGGTTTTTGAAAGTAAAATACATTTTAAAGTTTTGTTATATTTAAATTCATTTTAAACTGTGATAATTCATTCTCTGCAGTTTTGTGTCAGTTTAAGGAAGAAGGAAGAGCTCCTGAAGAACTGAGGCCTCCTTTGAACCAGAAGGACATGGAGCCCGTCAACATGAAGCAGGAAGAGGAGGAGCAGCTTGATGAGATTAAAACTGATGCCACCAACATTATATTCTCTGCAGTTTCTCATCAGGTTAAGGAAGAAGGAAGAGAAGTTCGGTTGTCACAGTTTGATCAGAACCAACCTAAAGACAGAGATCTTCCAACCAGCAGCACCACTGACCAGATGAAAGCAGAAAGTGGTAGAGAGGACTGTGGAGGAGCAAAAACTACCAGGAATCCAGATCTAAATCTTTATGAATATGATTCTAACTCTTCAGAGACTGAAGTCAGCAACGATGAAGATGATGACCAGGATGGCAACAATTCTGACTGTCAACTGAAACTCTTGTCAGATTCTGAGCCAAACACCAAAGATCATAACAAAGACTGGAAGCAGAGCAGGTCTTCTAAATCACATGTTAAGGCTGTCAAATCTTTCAGCTGCCCAGAGTGTGGTGAACAGTTTCTCCATGAGCGGTCTCTCCAGAAACACATGAAAGTGACAAGTCATTCAGGTCTGAAGTCTTCAAGCTGTTGTGTTGATAAGAAATATGTTAGAGTGAAGCAAAATGTAGACTCTAGCAGGAAAGTTCAGACAAAACTAAAATCATTTAGTTGTGACGACTGTGGAAAAAGTTTCAGCTCCATATCACATTTTATCACTCACATGAGAGTCCACACAGGACAAAAGCCTTTTGCTTGTGAGCTCTGTAGACAAAGATTTACCCAAAAGGGAAATTTAGACACTCACATGAGAGTCCATACAGGACAGAAGCCTTTTGCTTGTGAGCTCTGTAGACAAAGATTTACCCAAAAGGGAAATTTAGACACTCACATAAGAGTCCACACAGGACAGAAGCCTTTTGCTTGTGAGCTCTGTGGACAAAGATTCAGCCAAAAGTACCATTTAGACACTCACATGAGAGTCCATACAGGCGAAAGGCCTTTTGCCTGTGAGCTCTGTGGACAAAGGTTTAGCCAAAAAACAACTTTAGACAGTCACATGAGAGTTCACACAGGACAGAAGCCTTTTCCTTGTGAGCTCTGTGGACAAAGGTTTAGACAAAAAACAACTTTAGACAGTCACATGAGAGTCCACACAGGACAGAAGCCTTTTGCTTGTGAGCTCTGTAAACAAAGATTTACCCAAAAGGGAACTTTAGACACTCACATGAGAGTCCATAAAGGAGAAAGGCCTTTTGCCTGTGAGCTTTGTGAAAAAAAGTTTAGTCATAAGACAGATTTTGACAGTCACATGAGAGTCCACACAGGACAGAAGCCTTTTGCTTGTGAGCTCTGTAGACAAAGATTTACCCAAAAGGGAAATTTAGACACTCACATGAGAGTCCATACAGGACAGAAGCCTTTTGCTTGTGAGCTCTGTAGACAAAGATTTACCCAAAAGGGAAATTTAGACACTCACATAAGAGTCCACACAGGACAGAAGCCTTTTGCTTGTGAGCACTGTGGAAAAAGATTTTCTCAAAAGACAAGTTTAAACGTTCACATGAGAGGCCACACAGGACAGAATCAATGAACATAAACAAAATATATATTTTGGGACTTCTAAGGGTGTTGAAGGAAATGTGCTACTGATCTGGAAGCTCTTAACTAAAATGAAAGGCAGCAGTTTTATTACATGTTTTGTTTTTGGAGAAGAAAAGGTTGAAAATGAAAAGTTTTTTGTCACTAAAGTGTTTTATTAAAAATCTTTGTTCACTATTCAGTTTGTTGTTCGCTGTTTCTGGAGTTTAAATGTAAATGCTGATGTTTTGCAAAGTGAGAAGGCTCGCCATCAAAGTCACCAGATTAATCCACTCGTGTAATTATCTGTCATGCAAATAAACCTGATCAATAATTAATACCTATATTATCCATATTGTTTGACATCCAAATACAATTGGAAAGTCGGATTCACAGTTAGCAAAAGTATAAATCTGGTTTTCTCAAAAATCACTTTTGTGCAACATTTATTAACCAGAATATGTACATTGAACTGTTTTTAACGTTTTTCAGGTAAAATGGTGCTAACTTATTTGAAATAACATCTAGCTCCACTGCACGGTGTAGCGGCTCTCCCTCGCACATCTACACATAACATTTTACTTTCTGTAATTACAAATCCAAGTTTCACTGTGACATATAGAAAAAGTTCATGTACAGGTTAGAAGGTTTTACTTTGCTGTTTAGCTCTAACAGGGTAAGCATCGGATGGAAAGGTAGCAAAAACAGGTTAGCTTCATGTAGCGCTCAGTAAACTGGACAAAACCCGCCACTTCCATCGGTCTAGCTACTTCACTCCCACACCAAGGAAGATTCATTCACTGGCAATGGTACCGACTAATCCAGCTTCTTTTTTCCATTCTTTCTGTTTTTGTAATGTCTTAGGTGCAACCTGAGGTGGAAAGAGTACTACAATTTCCTACTTAAAGGTATAGCAATGGATGTTTCTGAATTTCAGGAAAGAACCGCCCTCCACGTTGTGCAGCACTCTCCCAGCGCCTGTTTACAAGTAGCTGCCGGCCGTAATGTGTAATAAGAGGCTCTAAAAACAGCATGCCAAACATTAGCTTACCTCTCAAGCAGAAAACCGTCAACAGCGGCGTCTCTGGGGAGCAGACTGGACCGCGTTTTCCTCTTCCTGATTTTTATGAGAGTGCGGGGGTGCACAGAGTACACATGCACAGGAAGTGAAAACTAACCCAGGATTGGCTTCACCAGAAATTGACATTTTTGCGGACCAGTGGTTGACGTGATCCACCCGGAAGAAAAACATTGATTGCTATACCTTTAAATACGAGTACCAATACTTTGATCATTTTTTACTCAAGTACAAGTACTTGCCTAAATTTTTACTCAAGTAAAAGTAAAAAGTATCTTACATAAAATGTACTCCAAGTTACGTAGTTACATTTTTGTCAGTTTAAGGATGGCTACATCTAAGTAGTGAAAAATCACAACGCCAGTTCACAACACGCTCGTGTGTGCATGCACACACACACAATTCAATTCAAGTTTATTTATAAAGCGCCAAATCACGACAAGAGTCGTCTCAAGACACATCACATAATAAACATTCCAATCCAGGTCAGTTCATTAAGCCAATCAGAAATAAAGTTTCCTATATAAGGAACCCAGCAAATTGCATCAAGTCACTGACTAGTGTCAGTGACTATACAGCAATCCTCATACTAAGCAAGCATATAGCGACAGCGGAGAGGAAAACTCCCTTTTGACAGGAAGAAACCTCCAGAGGATCCTGGCTCAGTATAAGCAGCCATCCTCCACGACTCACTGGGGATGGAGAAGACAGAGCTGACACACACACACACACACACACACACACACACACACACACACACACACACACACACACACACACACACACACACACACACACACACACACACACACACACACACACACAGTTTGATGGAGGGATTTTCATCCAATCAGTGAGAACTGGACGTGCACATTGATTGGACGAGGTTCTTCTAGGATTGTGATTAAAGGGCTCCTTCTGGTGTTCTTATTAAGTTCTCTACTATGAAACAATAACATGTGATTTGATTTTGGGAAAAAAAATCCTTTTACCTTCCTGTTTCAGTGTGTTTCAGTTCACCCCTCCTAGGGGGTGGAGACAAACGCTCCGTCTCGGAGCCCTCCTCATTTAATATTAATGATATGCAAGCTTCGGCCCTCTGATTGGCTAGTCTCAAAACACTATCTCCGTTTGCCCAAGTGAAAACATTTCAGCACAAAATCAAAATGTCATCGGAGATACAACCTTACATTTTTGATCCGGAGTCAGAGGAGGGCGGGGAAGTTGCCGAAGAACCCGTTCCTGAACGTTTATCAATGAACGTTTCAGAGTGGTACATGCATGTCAACTTATGTTTGTTTGAATTAACCTTTGCTAAATCTTTTGCCAAATCACCATGGTTAAATTGCACGACGTACCTTGTGCAGCAGTCTTAGATGCACTACAGTAGGGCTGAAACGATTCCTCGAATACCTCGAATAATTCGAGTACAAAAAATCCTCGAGTCAAATTCTCTGCCTCGAGGATTCGTTTAATTCATATTTAATTAATTCAGGGCTTTGCAATCGCCCGGGGTCATGTTTCACCCAGACCGAAATAAGTGACGCACATGCCCACTGGGCTGAATGCACACGCGAGTAGCGAACGTAACTTAACTTTCTCTTAAGCCATGGCGGATAACGTGGACCCCGGTGGAGTTCTAAAAAGACACAAAATGCCAAAGGTGTGGGACCATTTTTCACATCGTAAGGTGGAAAACGTAGTCCAGTATAAATACTGTAAAATGGATTTAGCCTACCACAACACCACGTCCTCCATGCTGCTGCAGCACCTGTAAATGTCACTTCTGCAAGCGGACTCAGAGCCTCTACAAGATAATGCATTTTAGCCTGTTTTTCTATATATTCTGCAGATGCTGTGCGACTTTTTCGTTTGTAGCACTCAGTTTTAGCTCACACCGTACATCTGGTAGCAACACGTCGAACTTAAAATGTGCTAAAAAATAGTTTTACACAACACGTCGGACTTTTTATTGTGTTACTGATGTCCGTTGTCCCTCGGGATTGCTGCAGGAGGACACGGGTATTTATGAGTGGCGGAGGAAAACGAAAGAAAGTAAATAAATGTTTTGTCTTCGTCTTCCTCCGCTTATCCGGGTCCAGGTCGCGGGGGCAGCATCCCAATTAGGGAGCTCCAGGCCGTCCTCTCCCCGGCCTTGTCCACCAGCTCCTCCGGCAGGACCCCAAGGCGTTCCCGGACCAGATTGGAGATGTAACCTCTCCAACGTGTCCTGGGTCGACCCGGGGGCCTCCTGCCGGCAGGACATGCCCGAAACACCTCCCCGGGGAGGCGTCCAGGAGGCATCCTGACCTCATGCCCAAACCACCTCAACTGGCTCCTTTCGAGCCGGAGGAGCAGCGGTTCTACTCCGAGTCCCTCCCGAATGTCCGAGCTCCTTGAACCGTCTCCTTGAACCGTCACCTTATCGTGGTGGAGGAGTTTGAGTGCCCTAATGATCCTAGGAGCTATGTTGTCTGGGGCACTTAGTGCCCCTGGTAGGGTCTCCCATGACAAATTGGTCTTAGGTGAAGGGTGAGACAAAGAACGGTTCGAAGGATCTTTCATGGCGGTTAAAACGAAGAGTCGGAGTACCCGGCCCGGAGGGTTACCGGGGTCCCACCCTGGAGCCAGGCCTGGGGTTGGGGCCCGTGAGCGAGCGCCTGGTGGCCGGGCTTTCGCCCATGGGGCCCGGCCGGGCCCAGCCCGAACCGGATACATGGGCTCGTCCAACTGTGGACCCACCACCCGCAGGAGGAACATGAAGGGTCCGGTGCAATGCGAATCGGGTGGCAGACCAAGGCGGGAGCCTTGGCGGTCCAATCCCCGGAAAAGAAAACTAGTTTTTGGGTAAATGTTTTGTGATCAGTGTAATTTGACAAAACCACGGCAAACATGCTTTCTCGACAATCCTTGTTAGTGTGTGAGAAAAAAGTGTAGAAATTAAAACGGACGTGTGTTAAAAGGGAAACAGCCGGCGAGCTGTTTGCGCATGCGCCGTGAGCGGTTCTGGTTCTGTTTGGGCCGCAGCCGCTCGCAGCGCTACTTCAACAGTTATCCTCTGGCTTGCAGGTTAGCAGATTCTCGCACGAGGGGAAAATCGGCTCAGGTTGTTTACTTATTTTTTGCACAGGCATTTGTTTACTGTGAAGTAAAGTTGAAGTGCTGAAGTTTTGAAAACTAATTTTGAATAAAACTTGAAGAATAACTGGCAATTGCTTGCTCATTTTAAGAGGTCTTTCATAATTATAACATGCTATTTGATATAATGGTTTACAAACACAAAAGGGTAATTTATTAGAGTACTCGATTAATCGAAAAAAAGATTCGATAGAGTTCTCGATTACAAAAATATTCGATAGCTGCAGCCCTACACTACAGATTTCAGCATATGTGGCTAACCACTGAAACGGCTCAGCGAGTGCATCCGCTGGTTCTGGACAGTCAAAACAATGAAAAGATGCAACTAATATAGCAAACCAATTTTAGTAAAAATAAGAACATTTGGTTTGTTCAATGTGTTCGTTTTATATCTAAGAAAAACTCTTAGTTCAATTTGATTATTAGAAATGTCTCGGTTGTAATACACCACTATAGTTTTCCACATTGTTGTAAATAACTTGCCTTTCAGTGCATTTAATTAAAAAGCCTCTTCAATGCTTTAAATAAGATTCGGTAATGTTAAATAAAACAGAAACTTGGCTTACATTACATTTTTACAAAATTAAAAAACATATTGTGATGTTGCAGGTGCACCTGTGGAAAATGCAACAGGATGCCCTTAGAGTATGAAAATGTCTGCTGCATGGAAGTCCCGCAGGTAATCACTATTAAAATTTGTTTTAGCTGATGGATTGGTTTCAAAGGTTTACATTCAAATGTGATTTCTGAGGTTGTTAGAAGACTGGAAGACACCAGCACACCAGTTTCCTGCATGAGCCTTCACCCAGGATAAGAACCAGTTTGCCTTCACATCTACTCGCTTCAAAATGCACTCAATGTATATCGAGCAGATTTTGGAGCACTGCGAGTAAGATGATATGAAAGGTAGCACAGTGTTTACAATAGGGAACTAAAAAAGTATTCACAACATGAGCAACACGTAACATTGTTGTTTAATGTGAATAAAAGAAAATACAGAAATTCTTACAATAAAATAAAATGGGAAACGTCCATTTAAAGCAACATTTTCCAATAACAAATCAAACTTTCAATGTCTTGTTTTCAAGGCCATGCAGACATCTGGCGTACAGATCTTTTGTG